ACAATGATAAGAATGACTGCCAACCCGTACCATCTTGTGCATTCCTTCCAAAGAGGTCACTGACATCTTCTTCTTATTATTATTATACTGCTCTGTACTCAGAGGTCCCAGGGTGGTTCACATAGTCTGGAAGTTAACGGCTGTGCAAGCATCTGTCAAGGAACTAGATGTAAATCATACGTTCAAGATTCTAAAATAAGAGTTGATTTTAAAAGGCAACACCAGCAAAAAAAAAAGTGCAGGTTATAATTCATTCCACATCCTCCTTTTAATCTGTGCTTCATTCATTTCCTAGCTCTATTATCATCTTCAGCCCTCAAATCATCTGGGAGTAGCTTTCATTCTCTAAGATCCAATTGTTGTCTGTGGGTTTCGCAAGTAGCTTCAAAGAGAACTACTTGGTTAACAGACAACTGCCACCTTATGAAATGCAACTACAACCAGTATTGAAGCAAATGTGCTTCACACACACTCAGGAGGTCATTGTCCAAAAGCCTACTTCAGTCCTCAACACCACTTCCTATGTACGAAGACAAAACAAATTTTGGGTCCACTGTGCTCCATACTTCAGTCCCAAAACACCTTTGAAAGGCAATATTCCATGTAAAGTTATTTAAAAGCAGGAAAATATATTACCTCCCTTAGAGTAAGCAATATTTAGCATATTTGTCATTAGCTCGTTTATTGTTTTCAGACCTTGGAATCTTGTTGCTTCCAAATGCGTCTTCAAAATATATTGTGGACGTAAGAGTTAATGACATTAATTTGAATAGACAGATAAGGTTGCATTCCCAAATTCCCCTGGTGGTAGCAATGTTATCAATAAGATGGTCATACACCCTTTCCCAGATATTAGCAAGTTACAGTTTAAATCAAAGTCAAATTTTGCTTACCAAAACAGCCAGGTCAAATCAAAGTCAAACAGAGAAGTTATCGGGTTTTACCTGCAGGTTAGGGAATTAAATAATTTAGAGAAGGGGAGGCTAACCCCAGTTTGGGGTCCTGAACTGAACTCCCCGATATTTTTTTCCTGCCCCTCAGACCCTACAGATTTTGGTGGCACAGGCAAAATAAAGAAATGAAGAACTAAAATAGATATTGGGGTGAGCAGAGATAGAGCCCAGCACACTGAAAGGGATGTAAACTGTCTCCACTCTGGTCACTCTGAGATCGATTAGAGAGGTGGGTGGGAGCCTTTTGTGCTTGTCTGCCCATGATTGCACATCCTACAGCACATATGTGAGCTTATGACCACACCCACTTTTGCAAAGCCCCACCACTAGCATGAGGTCCCTGGAGAGTTGGCCAAGGACAAATTTGGCCCTCACTCCAAGAATATTAGTCATCTCCGATTTAGAGGAAATTGCTGAACTAAAACACTTTTCTTCTTTGATCCCCCTGTTCTGCAGCTCTTAGTTGCTGGTCCTCTGCTCAATCCTCTGCCTAAAGGAAAAGATAATGGGTCATACCCAACTAACCTATTGAGAAATTCAGTTCGGATCTTAATGCTAACCTGCCTAATATGTAAACCCAAAGACTGCTAAGCCTTCTAAATCTGCACTTCTCCAAATGTTGTGATGCTATTCTCTGTCCAAATGATGCATATAAAAATGTGCACAAGGATACACATATATTAGTTAAAATAGCATATCAAAATGCATTATATTTGCAAAAATGTGTAAATTAAACAAAATTACATGCAAATATTAGGAGACTGGCAATAAAATGTTGGAAAACTTTCACAATGATTTTTTTAATTTGCAAACTGATATGGGAACGTGGAGAACTGAACTTGAATCTGGAAGAAAAATGACAATGGGTCATTCTTGAGGCAATGCATCATACAGGATAAGATGCAGAGCAGATTAATGATGGAATTATTTAATTTGGTATAAAAACCACCCTAAAATTTTCAGAAAGACTACCTCAAATTAAAATTCACAATTCTTCTCAAAAGCAAGCCCTGCCAAATATACTAGGATTGGTCTCAAATTAAGTATACAAATGATTTTTTAAAATATTTTTTAAAGCAGACAAATATAGCTACAGTTCTAACAAAGTACATGAAAGTAATTTCTATACAGATGCACAAATCACAGAAGGCTACCAATTTGTTTTCAGTCATCTGGGGAAAACACAGCTGTCCCCTAAACCATACAACCAGGAATAAACAAAATAAAACCAAGCATAAATTATATTTTAATTAAGTAAAATTCTGTCCCTTCTCCAACCACACAGAAAGAGGGGAAACACATTTTGAAAAGACCAGAAAAAGGAGCAGGAAACTGGTAGGAAGGGACTCTGATGAGATGGAAGAACACGGCAACCAGGAGGCATCAAAAGAGATCAGGGGCAGAATGCACCCCCTGGGCTGCCAGTTGCTCACACGTGGCCTAATAAACCGGTAACAGCGCATTTGGGAGCATTCCAAACCCTCTGAGAACCAGTGGGACTTCTTCCCAGCTCTGAGCAGATTTTCTGCTCTGGTTAAATCCAGGCCAAGTTATACCTGAAATTAACTCTGCTAAGTGTTGAGCAATTGGCTTGTTTGGCCTACAGGCCATGATATTTTCCATTTTAGTGCAGGACCCTGCAGAAGAAAAGAGGGCCACTGGGAGTCAGGGAGAGCCTCTGCCTTTCTTTGGAGCCCAAATAAGGATGCAGTTTCTCTTTGAGCTTGTGCTGAGTTCAGAGATGCTTGGAAAGCACAAAGGTGCCTCATTGTTTTCCAAGTGTTTTTAGGGTTCAGTGAGAGGATGGGAAGAAACCCTGCCCTCCTCTAGGTTCCAGAGCAGATTGGGAGCACTTGCCAGATTAAAAAGTATGATTGCCAATGGCGAGCACATTTGCAGATTCGGGACAAACCTTTGGGGACTTGACCTGTATTGTCAATAACAAGGGCTGATGGCCAACATTTTAAGTTTGTGTGGCAATGTGTCTTCTTCTGGCATCTTTCTACTGGACTATCTTACAATTAACTTTCAGATTTCACTTATGGTTACAAGAGCTCAGGGAGTTGAGTGAACAGGATATCAATCCCATTTGGGTACTCTGCTTGGTTACTAAAATATTTCAGCAAAGTAGTCCTTAAGTGGACTGCACTTCAATGGAAAAATAATTTTCTTGCAAATCCTCTCAGTCTATGGGTCCCAAATTTAGCATAATTGTTTTTAAATATGTCTTGGCCTGGACTGGACCAGAGCTGAACCTGAAAATCAGTCTCCATTTTTCTACAGTTCCTTATGACTGCTAAGACACTGACTTCCTTTTAAGATGCTAAAGCCAAACATTACAGCTACCCAGTACTCAGGCTCACATTCCTGGAAATCATCAGAATTAAAATACCGTATTTTTCGCACCATAGGACGCACTTTTTCCCCTCCAAAAATGAAGGGGAAATGTGTGTGCGTCCTATGGTGCGAATGCAGGCTTTCGCTGAAGCCTGGAGAGTGAGAGGGGTCGGTGCGCACCGACCCCTCACGCTCTCCAGGCTTCGCACACCTCTCCGCAAGCAGCGGGAGCCCAGCGCTGGGCTCCCGCTGCTTGCGGAGAGTTGCCTGCATGCCGAAGACTGCGCGCGCTGAGATCAGCGCGCCCAGGCTTCGCAGACCTCTCCGCAAGCAGCGGGAGCGCTCCCACGGCTTGCAGAGAGCTGCCTGTTTGGGGGCTGGGGTCGGGGGAAGCTCAAGCTTCCCCCGCCCCAGCCCCGCGCCTGGGGGAAAAATAATTCCCCCCCCTTTATTTCCCCCCAAAAAAACTGGGTGCGCCCTATGGTCCGGTGCACCCTATGGTGCGAAAAATACAGTATGTTGTTGGATTAAGGAGTTAGGGAACCAGAGTCACAGTATGTAAAGTTTTGAATCTTAATGATTGGTTCAACAAAATTAGAGTATGTGTTATGCTTTTTCTGTCATTTTTAATACTTATATGGAGAGCAAAAATATTGAATTAACATGGGAGAACTAAAATTAATTTTCCAATGTGAAGGAGGAAACCCAGAGCCAAATAAATAAAAAATGGAGCTCAAGCATGGCATTTTTTTTGGTGCTGTCCACAAAAAAAAGTTTCTTTTCCTTCTTTTGGAAATACTGTATGCAATAAAAAATAAATAAAGCTAGAGATCATTATGTCCTCATGACAGTTTGCTGGAATATATTTTTAACTGTATGATGAAGGAACCCATAAAATAATCTGTTAATTATAGGGAGATGGCATCTAAGAAGGAAGCATATGAAAAATATCTAAGTATGGAATACTCTGCTGACAGTGGCACTTACACACCAATATTTAAAGTAAAGAAAGAAACCAGGTGTATTCTGTGGAAAGTGGAACCACTGTTTGAACTTTTAGAAATATAAAATATGGGTGAAATATATCTAGGGACATTCTACTTCATCATGTCCTTCTCTCAGTTTGAAGCATATTTTTCTACAGATTTTTCTGTTAGTAATACTTTCCTGAGCTATAATTTTGTATATTTAAATGGAAAACTTGAGAGTAGAAATTAAAACAATTTCTCAAAGAATTAAAAATAAATTGTAAGAATGACAATTGCTCTACATTTCTTACTCTAATATACTTTTAAGGATGGCAATTATTTTCATATCCATTATTCAGTTACAGTATATGCTTTCCTTAATCCTCACAAGTTTATTAATTGGAACTAACCTGACACATTCTGCAGTGTAACTACAGTATTCCTTTAGCCAGGTGGTCAGATTTTTATCAGGCTTTAGTAACAATGTGTTTGGTAGCATCCCGTTGCTACTAAGTCCACAAAAGTTGCTACCTCAAAGATTTTTACTAACCTACCTGCTTACAAATATGTATGTTAGCAATTTGTAGCATACTGACAGGCTAATTTAGGAAGAAGAAAATGCAAACCAATAATAATAAATGTATCCCTTGTTACCTGGAAGCAATTCCCCTCAGCACCAGGCAAGTCCCTATTTAGATATGCAAAAGTCATTTGATCCTCGAGTGAGACACCAGCAACTTACTCGGGGCTGCACTTTTCAGTCTCCTTGCCAGAAGTCATCAGGAGCCAAACACACACAGTGGGCAATCTTAGGCACCTTGACCTGGAAGTAAGCCCAACTGACTACACAGACTTGCATCTAGGCAGGTATGCACAGGATACCCGCTTAACTCTGCGTGACTTGGCTCAGTCATGACCCAGAGTCCCAGTCCACGGCCTCCAACGGGGGTTGCCACTCACAACTAACTTTGGCCGGATTTTGAGGAGTTCCCCTTAGCGAAAGGCAGGCAGGCTGGCGGGCTCCGCGAGAGCCTTCCCGGGATCGTGGGACGAAGCTGGCCAGGCTCCCCGGGGAACGTGCCCCGTCGCCCTCCGCGTCTGCCTTGCTCCCTCTGACAGGAATTCCCCAAAGTGCATCAGCATCTGCCGCCCGCCCGCCGCCCCCGCCATCCTCCGAGGCGCAGGGAGCCAGAAGCGCGCAGGCAGCGGCTGCCCGGCGGAGCGACGGCTCCTCCCGAGCGGCCGGCAGCGTCTGGGCAGGGCTGGCCTCCGCCCGCGGCGCCCTCGCCCTCCCGCGCTCCGGCCTGCCAGCCCGCGAGGGAGCGGCCGGGGCTCCCCGAGGCCGCCTTTTGTCTCCGCGCTCGGGGCGCCGCCGGCTCCCTCCTTCGCCTCGCCGGGAGCCGAGCGCGGGACTGGCGAGCCCCCCTCCAACCCTGCCCGCCCGCCCGCCTTACCTGGCGCCCGCCGGGTCCCGCGGCGGCTGCAGACGAAGCAGGGAAGGAGGAGACGCCCGGTCGCCCAGCCCCGCGCGCTCCCGCTCCCTCTCGGCGGCCGGGGAGCGGGGCCAAAGCGGGCCCCCCCCCGAGTGGCGGCGGCGCGAGCCAATAGGCGAGCTGGGGGAGAGGGGGAGGCGGGGCCCCAGAGAACAAAGGAGGGAGGGGGCGCCCGGGAGAAGGGGGGGGCGGACGGGAGGAGCGGCGCCCGGGACGCCCCAGTTCCGCCGGGTTAGAAGCCGGAGGCCTAGCTCTGCGGGGCGCGGGAGGCAGCCGGGTCTGGGTCGCGGCCCCGAGAGCGGCGGGGTCCGCGCGCAGCCTGCCCTCCAGGCCGGGAAGCGGCTCCTGGGGCTCCGCCTGAAGCCACGCAGAGCGACTTGGCCGGGGCAAAAGGCGAAGCGGAGCCTCCGGAGGGAAAGGCGGCCGGATTCCCCGCCTCGGCGGCTCCGGTGCTCTCCCGCCTCCTCTGAGGAAGGGTCTCTTCTTCAGCTTTTCTGATCCTTCGTAGCCCCGTTGGGAGAAGCCGAAATAAAGAATGGCCGTGCCATGAAAGTTCTCTCTTTTATAAAAGGGATCCTAATAGAATCGTGGAGTTGGAAGGGATCCCCAGGGCTATCCAGTACTGTACAACCCCTGCAGTGCAGGAATCACAACGGAAGCATCCATGGCAGACAGACATCCCACCTCTGCTTAAAAACCTCCACGAACGAGAGACCGAGGGAGACCCTTCCCCTGCTGAACAGCCCTTGCCAGCAGAAAGTTCTTTCCCATGTTTAGTCAAAATCTTTATTGTAACGTGAATCCACTGGTTCGAGTCCTACCTTCCCTAATGGAAGAATACAAGCTTGCTCCATTTCCCATGCGAAATGCCCCTTAGACATTTGAAGATGGCTATCATCTCTCTTCTCAGTCTCCTGGGGGATCGGTGGACCTCCGATGGGAACGTGGTCCAGAGGGAGCAGGCCTGGACGAGGAACCCTTGACTGAATGCTGAAATCCTCACCACAGGCAGGAAACTCCCTGCCATCAACAGAGGAAGAGCAGCGCTCACTCCCCATGACCCCACAGTAGCTGCTGCAAGGCCTGTGACACCCATATCTTTATCCCAACAGAAGTGCATGCTTTTCGTACTTTCAGGTGGGATCGGTCTTGGTGGTGCGTCCTGGAGGCTGCTCTTTAAAATGGAGGCTAGGGACCCTGTGAAGATTGAAGCACCCTGCCAGCTGACTATAAAAAAGCTGGCGGAACTGGGGATTATGACCTGGCCTAAGGTGGTGTGAGTGTGTCTTCTGTCTCGCTCCCCTCTACACTTGAGGATCTGGAAGTGCAGTTGCATTCCCAGGTGCCAGAAATGGTGGTACCTCCCTGCTTCACACTAGAGGAAAATGAAGTGAGAGGAGACAGGGATTTCTAAAAATGACGTATAATAAAAGTGTCCATAGTGTGGTGATGGTGTAAGTCAGGATGGGGGGGGGGGGAGCTCCCTTGGTCTCCCTCAAGAGAGGTGTATCTTTGCTGGAGAACAAACAGGGTTCACTCATTTTTGAAGACACTGTTTATACCTCATATGAACGAGGCAGCAGTACGAAAGAGTAAGATGTCTTATCCCTTCTTTGCTATTAATCTTGGAGGGCTTTAAAAAGAAAAAGAAAAAAGACTAAAAATCAACCAAGATGGAACTGTGTCAGGATTGTCCTTCCTCGCTTCTTTGTCAGAGGCAGCGAGATCTGTGGGCAGAGACTTGTGCTTGGCATTATTGTTTTGTGTGGTAAGGACTATGCCAAGCACCCCATCTTTCCTCTCAGATAAAATAGCTTATCTCAGGGGTCCTCAAACTTTTTAATTGGGGCCGGTTCACTGTCCCTCAGACACTGTTGGGGGCCGGACTATACTTTGAAAAAATGTGAACAAATTCTGATGCACACTGCACATATTTTATTTGTAGTGCACAAAGAACAGGAAAAACAATACAATATTTAAAATGAACTATAGTGGTACCTCGGGTTAAGTACTTAATTCATTCCGGAGGTCCGTTCTTAACCTGAAACTGTTCTTAACCTGAAGCACCACTTTAGCTAATGGGGCCTCCTGCTGCCACCGCGTCACCGGAGAACGATTTCTGTTCTCATCCTGAAGCAAAGTTCTTAACCTGAGGTACTATTTCTGGGTTAGCAGAGTCTGTAACCTGAAGTGTATGTAACCTGAAGCCTGTGTAACCTGAGGTACCACTGTATTTTAATCAACATAAACTTATAAGCATTTCAATAGGAAGTATGGGCCTGCTTTTGGCTAATGAGATGGCCTACACATGGATCTCCCTCACCCCCATGGCCCAGTCTACATGTGGGCCTTCCATGCCCCCATCCCCACAACCCAGCCTATACACGTGTCTGCCTGCGCACACACATCCCCACAACCCAGCTTATACACGGCTCCCTAACCCCCACGACCCAGCCTATGCATGTGCTTCCCTAACCCAGATCCCCATGACCCAGCCCACACCTGTGTCTCCTTAAGCCCCATCCTCACAACCCAACTTGCCTGCGTGTCTCCCTAACCCCCATCCACCCCCCAGCTTGCACGCCTGTCCACCAACCCCAAATCCCCACATGGCAACTTGCCCGTGTGTCTTCCCCAATCATCACTGTCGCCTGGCACATCACAAACTCCACGTCACAGCCCTGCAGGCGCATCAGAACCAACGGCAGAGCCGGGCGAGGCGGGCACCCCGGGAGGTGGCATGAGGGCGCGGTGTGCTGCAGCGCCAGCAAGGCCCTCACACCGGGCCCCTCACCCATGGCTGCAACCCATCTGGGGTGGGGAGGCGGATGGACGGGCAGGGGGAGGCCCAGGCGGTGCGCTTGCAGGGGCGCCTCTCTCCTCAATACTCCCTCCCTCCCTAACTGCCTCCTCCTCCTCCAAAGACACGAGAACTCATCTTCCTCTCCCAACCCTGGATGGGCCGGGTTCAGGACCCTGGCGGGCTGGATCTGGTCCTCGGACCGTAGTTTGAGGATCCCTGGTTTAACACACCAGGCTTCTGAAACTAAACCCACTCAACAAGTTGTTCAGAAACATCATTTCACTGGGGTGCGGTTTCACATTGCCACACGTCCTGCCTGTCTCTAATTGTGGCTGCCATGTTCAGAGAAAGGGGCTGACCCACATGAGGATGTGGACATGAAGGTGCCTTCCATTAACTTATGGGCGAGCAATTAACATGCCAGAATAAACACAGTTGAAAACCCTTCATAAATTTACCCAGTTCTGCCTTAAAACCAGTAAGGAGTAGCTTGGCTTCTCCAGCTGGGAAACACTTCATGTTCTACAATTTGTAGAATAAGCCAACACTTCTTTTGTCGAGCACAATACTCCAGGCAGATGTGGGTCCCATGGACACAGCTGCTGGCCTCCTCCCTTGGGCAGCTTGTAGCGGTTGCTGGAGAGTATGGGTCTGCTGCCGCCATGGCCCAGCCCTATGGGACACACTGGCTCTGAGGGGCAGGCAGAGGAGAGCCTTGATTTAAAAACTGTTTTGTGTGTGTGTGTCTAATCTTGCCCCTGTCTAAAATTTATTTATTGGTGTGTGCTTTTCTTTTTGTAAATCTACCGAGGAATAAAATAAAATCAGGAGTGGAGGGCATGTGCTGTGTGCCGTTGGCGTAGAAGTGGTGGCATTCACCCTTCCTCTGGTAGGAAATGTTCTGCAGGGAGGTAGAGGAGGGTCAGGGAGGGAGAGAGAAATGTCCCTGTTTTTATCTGAAGAATGTTGGAGGGTATGACACACACACTAACCACTTTTGCAAGTCTCCTACTGAGATTCTATTATTAGTTTTGTGCCCAGTTTGTCTTTTAAATTTGTTGCCACACAATTAAAAAGCCCATTTTGGCCACACCCTTTTGGACATGAGGCCCCCAGAAAGTTGACCATAGATCCCTGGCCCCAAGGGATTCGCCACCCCTGGTTGAATATTATTGTCGGTATGTAGTTGCTTAGAAGGAAAGCCCCAAAATACTAACTTTTATTTTATTTTAACCTGAAGCTTAATCAGCATTAAAAGGCTTATAGCATTCGTGTTAGCCCTCACAGGCTAACTCCCATTGGTCACACATTCAGCAAAGGGGAAGGCTCTCTCTGCATGGACATGTACGAAGTTCCTTTGCACAAAGAGGAGGCTGCTTAGCACAGACTCTCTCTTCACAGGGAAGGGCGCTAGGCTTATGTACTGATATGTGCGTAACACCCCTTCACACATGCATCAAAGAATGAAGGTGGGGGCTTATCTAGCTGGGAATGGGGCTGTTCCACGCAGCCCTGTGAGGGGGTTGCTCTGAACTCCATAGTGAGACAACTGAAATTTTAACCAGTCAATGGTGAAACAAAATGTAAACTTCACCTATATGCCAATTGAGGTCTAAACTGGCAGAGAGAGATGTGCAGAGAGAGATGTGCTGGAGCAAAGAGTGAGGGAGAGATGTATATGCAGCTGTGTAGA